TTGTGGGGGGCTCTTGGGCACTCTTGAAGCGGTCTTGGGGGCCTCTTGGGCCGTCGTCGGGCGTTGGAAAGCGGAAAGGGTGGGAATACCAAAATCTCACCAAAACCTAAGGAAAAGCAATGAATTTTGCCTATTGGGGCCCTCTTGGGAGTGCTCTTGGAGGCCTCCTGGGGCGTTTGGGGGCCATATGGAGCGTCTTGGAGCGATCTTGTGGCATCTCGGAGCCCTCTTGTAGCATCTTGGGGGCGTTTTGGGGCGTCTGGAGGCTCTCTGGAGGACCTCGAGGGCGGCACCCAGGAGGGAGAACATCTCTGACGGGAACCTCCCGGGACCCTCCCGGGAGTCTCCCGGGACCCTGCCGGGGTACTTTTCGTGGGGAGACCCCCAGGGGCCGCCCCGCGCGCGCGAAGAAGAATATTGTAAAGCAGTCACCGGAGATCTTAGCACGCCTCTGGCCCGTTGGGCCGGCGAATTATGAAATCTGGAGTACCCCTACCCCCCACGATTTCTCAGGGGGAGGGTGGGGTTCACTTCGCTCGGGAGCTCCCGAACGAAGTGAACCCCACCCTCCTCCTCCGAAATCGTGGGGGGTAGGGGTAGGGTTCGCATCTGGCTCCCTACACAGTCCACGGCATCTGGCGGCCCTCGTAGGGCCCCGGGACTGTCAGAGGACGGTCCGGGATGCAAAGCTGGCGCCGGGGAAGAGGGCTCAGACGTCCAGGGGTCCGCGATGCGAGCCAGCATCCATCCCGGGGCCCTTGTCCCTGCCCCGGAGCTGTCAGAAGACGGGAGGAGGAGGGAGGGAGGAGGGAGGGAGGGGGGAAGGAGGGGGGGAGGGAGGGGGAGGGAGGGGGGGGGAGGGGAGGAGGGGGGGGAGGGAGGGAGGGAGGGAGGGGACCCGGGATGTCATGCTGGCCCCCCATGGGAAGAAAAGGGCCTCCAGGCCTCCAGGGGTCCGCTTCGTGAGCAACAACCACGGCGTCGGAGTTCTGGGGGGGGGCTCCAGGGCTCGCTTTTTGACTGCAGTCAACCCGCATAGTAATGATGTTTAGGCCTCCTAGATGGGGGCCGGAGTAGATGGGGTCGGAGGATCGCGCCGCATCGCCGATGCATCGCCTATGCGGCTCGATGCGGAGCCCGATTTTCTCAGTGCATCACCGATGCATCGCCGATGCATCGCGGATGCATCGGCGATGCGGCGCGATCCTCCGACCCCATCCGGGAGGCCTCCAGGATGGGCAAGCTTCCTCAGGGCACACCCGCATCCTTGCCCCTCCGGCCCATTCTCGGCGACTCGCCGGCCAGCCTCGCTCGAAGCACGTGAGAGCACGGCCCTGCAGGGCCCCTGCAGCCTCGCCGCGCATCCTCCTGCTGCGCGCCGGCTGCAGGTCGCCCGCGGGGGCGCGGAGCCGCTCGGTCTCTGCGCGCGTCGTGGCCTGGGCCCGGAGAGCGGCTGCCCGCCTCTCCAGCGTGGGGGTCTGCGCGGAGGCGCGGAGGGTGCGGGGGGAGAGAGAGAGAGAGAGAGAGAGAGAGAGAGAGAGAGAGAGAGAGAGAGAGAGAGAGAGAGAGCGAGAGAGAGAGAGAGAGAGAGAGAGAGAGAGAGAGAGAGAGAGAAAAAAAGAAAGAGAGAGAGCCGCGGCCGTCGCGCACGGGCGAGGGCGTGCCGCGCGAGGCCAGGTGACCCAGTTTTGGAGGAGGAGGAGGAGGGGGGGAGGAGGAGGAGGAGGGGGAGGGGGAGGAGGGGGAGGGAGGAGGAGGAGGCGGAGGAGGAGGAGGAAGAGGAGGAGGAGGAGGAGGGGAGGAGGAGGAGGGGTCGCCTAAGCCCTTCGGAGAAACCCTCGGCGACCACGACGGCGACCATGACCACGACAGGAGGGGGAGGGGAGGAGGAGGAGGCGGAGGAGGAGCGGAGGAGGAGGAGGAGGAGGGGAGGAGGAGGAGGGAGGAGGAGGGTCGCCTAAGCCCTCGGAGAAACCTCGGCGACCACGACGGCGACCATGACCGACGACGACGACGACGACCGACGACGACGACGACGACGACGGCGACGACGACGACGACGGGCGGCGGCGACGACCACGACGACGACGACGGACGACGACGACGACGACGACCACGACGACGACGACGACGACGACGACGACGACGACGACGACGACGACGACGCGACGACGACGACGACGACGACGACGACGACGACGACGACGACGACGACGACGACGACGACGACGACGACGACGACGACGACGACGACGACGACCACGGCGACGCCGACCACGACCACCGCGGCGACGCGTGCGGGTGCGCGGGATGGGGTGTCAAGTTCTGACCTCGGGGTGTCCACGTCCTCCGCTCCTCAGGGGACCTAGGAGGAGGAGGAGGAGGCCTCCCGAAGCTGTGGACCTGGATGCTTGATCCGTTTCTGGGCGTCCTCCCTCATCCCCTCCCCTCTCCTCTCTTCCCTCTTCTCCTCAGCTCCTCGCCCTCCCGCTCCTTCGGTTTCCTTCGCGTGGCCCGCGCTAATTACTTTGCCGGCCCGTCCCCAGGTCCGAACAAGAGCTGCACGGGCCAGTGCAGTGACGGAGCCAGAGGATGTTTGGGTCTTTCTGGGCGGCGGATCAGCAGGAGAGCGCTTTGCTTTCCCGGGCGATAGCGGGCGTCCCCCGGGGGGGGGGGTAACGTCACTTTTCGTGCCGGCGCCGTCTGGGAGTGCATAGGAAAAGCAAAGGCCAGCTTGGATGGCAGATTTCTGTAAGGATCTGCTGCGGCAGAGCGCGCATGCTTGTAGGGATCTGCTTCGGCAGAGTGCCTCCCTTCCCCTTGCTCCTCTTCTTGCTCCTCTTCTTGCTCCTCTTCTTGCTCCTCCTCCTCCTCTTCCGCCCCTTCGCTCCTCCCCCATCCCTTCTCATTCTCCTTCCCTTCGTCGTCGTCGTCGTCGTCGTCGTCGCGCTCCTGTCTCGTGACGATGCCAAGGGGGGTGGAGAGGCGAGGGCTGGTAACGGCCGCTGCTGCGAAGCATGCTTCGAAAACGCTCTCCAGCAGGATGGTGACGAGGCGGACGAGGAGGCGGCGGGAGAACACGAGGAGGAGGAGGAGGAGGAGGAGGAGGAGGAGGAGGAGGAGGAGGAGGAGGAGGAGGAGGAGGAGGATGACGAGGGAGGGGTTTCGATGTTTGCAGCCCCCCTTTCCAGCTCGGGCAGAGATCAGGGCGGCAGGCGTGCGCCGGTCGTCTCTCCGGACGGGCTTTGTTGTGCCGTTGGCGGCGATTGGTCGCCCCGCTCTCCTGCTGCTGCGGGTTATGTCCCTCGGCCGCTCGCTGGCTCGCGGCTCCTGCCTCCCCAAAGCAGCGCTCGCGCGCGCGAGGCCTCCCAGGCTGCCGAGGAGGCGCAGGCCCAGGAGCCTGGCGAGGAGGCCGCCGAGGCGAAGGAGGCGCCCCGACACCGGCCTATTTCTGCGCGCGCCCAGCGATGCTGCTGCTGATGATGATGATGATGATGATGATGAGGAGGAGGAGGAGGAGGAGGAGGAGAACCAGAAGGAAGAAGGAGGAGGAGCAGGAGGAGGACCATTGTAAGCCGACGATCCGCCAACGATATTGCAGTAAACCCTCCTTCCAAGTTCCTCCTCGTAGGCACCTACAAGGATTGCTGAAGGCTCAGCTCCGTCGGAAGACAAACGTTTGCAAATCATGAACTGTGCCAGAACACCATTCCTGGGACTTCAACGCCGCGAATCACCGTTACTGTTGCGTCTTGACGAGCTTGAATCGTGCCCGAGTGCCGTTCTTGTGACCTCAACACCGCGAATCAACGTAACTGTTGCGCCCTGACATTCCGACATCGTGCCAGAACACCATGTTTGATCCGTTAAGGCATGAGAATCTTGAAATTGTCGTGAACTTTATAAATGAATGTGCGCGGCGCCAAGGCGAGAGCCACATTTTGAAAAGGACCCGCCCTTAACTTATGGAACTCGTGCAAATTTGTACGACGAACGTGCGCGGCGCTAAGGCGAGAGCGACATTTTGAAAGCGGCCCGCACTCCATCCGTGAAGCTCATGCAACATTTCAAAACGACGGCGTTAAGGCGAGAGCCACATTTTGGAAAGTGGCCCGCCCTCCATCCACTAAGCTCTTGTAATTTTGTGCGACGAATGTGCGCGGCGCTACGGTTGAAAACCACCCGCCCTCCATCTGTGAAGCCATTGCAAATTCCCAACCATCCTGAGGTGTTGGGTCCTCGTTTTGAAGAGACAGCGCCCCCGCGTTTCTCTCCTCCTCATCCCCCTCCTCACTCCTCTTGCTTTTGCCTCTGCCCCCCTGACTGTCCTTATCGTCATCATCATCATCACCGTCATTCCAAACAATGCCTCTGTCCTCTGCATGTGCTCATTGTCCTCATCATCGTCACCAGCGTCCTCCCCCCCTCCCCATGCATCATCATCATCAGCATCATCATCATCACCATCATCATCATTATCATTATCATCATCATCATCATCATCATCATCATCATCATCATCATCATCATCATCATCATTATCATCATCATCGCCATCATCATCATCACCACCATCATCATCATCATCATCATCATCATCATCATCATCATCATCATCATCATCATCGGCATCATCATCATCATACTCATCATCATCGCAATCATCATCATCATCGTCATCATCATCGCCATCACCATGACCGTCATCATCATCATCGTCTTCACCACCACCATCACCGTCATCATCAGCATCATCGCTGTCATCATCGACATCATCGTCATCGGCTTCAGCTTTGGCACACCCCTCACACGTCTCGTGGCCCATAAGGGGCTCCACCGAAGGCCCCAGTGGCTGCGTTCGTATGCCGCCCCCCCCCCCCCCCTTCCTCCCTTCGGTATACCCCTTCGCACATTTCGTGGCCCCATATGGAGCTACACCTGAGGCCTCAGTGGCTGCGTTCGCAGCATGTCGCCACCTCCCTCACTTTGGCACGCCGACCACACGTTCGTGGTCCCGTAGGGAGCTCCACCTAAGGCCCCAGTGGTTGCGCTCGCATGCGCCCGCCGCACCTATGTTGGCACACCGCTCACACGTCTTGTGGCCCCACAGGGAGCTCCACCGAAGGCCGCAATGGCTGCGTTCGCATGCGCCCGCCGCACGAATGCCGGCACACCCCTTACACGTTTCGTGGCCCCAGATGGAGGCTACACCGATGTCAATAATTTTCACAACTGCGTTACTCCAACTACATATCGTTGGGTCCTTCGTCAGCCTGATTTGTTAAACGAATGTGCGCGGCGCTTAGGCGAGAGCCACATTTTGAAAACCGCCCGCCCTCCATCCGTGAAACTGTTGCAAATTTGGAGTTTCAGGACGGTGAGGCAGTCTCAGTCGAAACGCACAGCCAGCCTTTTCGACCGACCTTGGGGTGCGACAGGGGGGAATCATGATGATGATGGTGGTGGTGAAGACGATGACGACGATGATGATGCTGATGATGATGATGATGACGACGAAGATGATGATGATCATGATGCTGATGATGATGATGATGATGATGATGATGCTAATGCTGATGATGCTGACGATGACGATGCTGATGCTGATGATGACGATGAAGATGATGATGATGGACATGATGCTGATGATGCTGATGCTAATGATGAAGATGCTTCTGCTGATGATGATGATGCTGATGATGAATATGCTGATGATGATGATGATGATGACGGTGACGGTGATGATGATGATGATGATGATGATGATGATGATGATGATGATGATGATGATGATGATGATGATGATGATGATGATGATGATGATGATGATGATGATGATGATGATGATGATGATTATGATGATGCTGATGATGACGATGATGATGATGATGATGATGATGATGATGATGATGATGAGGATGATGATGATGGCGATGAGGATGATGCAGCGTATTCCCATGACGTTAGTTTGCCCACTTGCATTCCCTCCATGTGTTCTGTTGGTCTTGAACTGCGGCTGCGGCTTGCTGCAAAGCGCCACTCCCTCCTGTAAGTATTCCGGGCCGTCTTCGGTTCTTCTCTCTGCCTCCTCCTCCGCCTCCTCTTTGCACTGCGCCGTGGCTTGGCTGCGCGAAGGCGGCCGGTTGCGGCCACCAGAGGTGTGCTTCTCCCCCCAGTTTGGGTCAGGGGCTTCGGCTCGCTGGCTGGAGGGAGTATTCTGTGGCTGGAGGGTTCCCTACCACTCGCGTGTGCCAAGAACCTGTGGCTCCAGGGAAAGGGAAATCCTTTTTGCTACACGAGTCGGTTATACCAGACAATCCGAATGCCAAGGCTCCCAAGACCAGCGAATGGCTCTTAACGCTAGGATTCTGATGATGATGATGATGATAATGATGATGGTGGTGATGATGATGATTATGATGCTGACGATGATGACGATGATGATGATGGTGATGATGCTGCTGATGATGATGACAATGATGGTGATTCTGCTTATGCTGATGCTGCTGCAACTGCTGCTGTTGCTGATGATGATGAGCGTGATGATGAGCATGATGCTGATGATGATGATGATGATGGTGGTGGTGGTGGCAATGATGATGCTGCTGTTGCTGATGATGATGATGATGATGGTGACGGTGGTGCTGATGATGATAAGGATGATGAATGTGAGGATGATGGTGCTTCTGCTGATGACGATGACGATGGCGGTGGTAGTGATGATGGCAATGACGATAATGATTACGATAATGATGATGATTATGATGATGATGGTGATGATGATGATGATGATGGTGATGATTATGCTGATGCTGATGATGCTGATGCTGCTGCTGCTGATGATGATGATGATGTCGATGGCGACGAAGACGATGACGATGACGTCTACGACGAGGATGGTGATGTTGATGATGCTTATGATGATGATGCTGATGCTGATGATGATGACGATGATTAGAACGAGGACAATGCTGCTGCTGATGATGCTGATGATGATGCTGATGATGATGATGATGATGATGATGATGATGATGATGATGATGGTGGTGGTGATTTTGCTAGTGATTCCCCGTTCAGAGCTTGCCTCTGTAGGGGTCCTAGCGGATTCATATGGTTAGGTGAGGTGCGTCGCCGATGTCTGTGGCCGGCCTGGGTTTCCGGGTGCCCAGGTGCCGGGGTGCCCGGGGGTGCCCTGGTGCCCAGGTGCCCTATAGCCCTATAGCCCTATAGCCCTATAGCCCTTCAGCCTTATAGCCTTGTAGCCCTATAGCCATATAACCCTATAGCCGTAAAGCCCTACAGCCCTATAGCTCTAATAGCCTTATAGCCCTATAGCCCCATAGCCCTAATAGCCTTATAGCCTTATAGCCTTATAGTCCCATAGCCCTATAGACCTAAAGCCCGATGGCCCCATAGCCCTATAGCCCTATAGCCCTATAGCCCTATAGCCCTATATCCCAATCGCCCTACAGCCCTAGAGCCCTTCTAGCCCTATGGCCC